GAAGGCCAAATGAAAAGCAGTAACTTCCATTTTGTTCTGCACCCTGAAGCTAAGCAGTTGGCCAACGAGTCTTACATTATCTCCTCTTGGTCTGGTGCAGATGAACATCTTACTAAAGGCTTTTGGTTAGACAGCATTGAAGTAATTGTGTTCATGGCTGTTTCTGCATTGCAGTTACGGTCTGAGCTCATGTCCGATCTGCCTGGGAGAGCCAAAGGATCCGGTCTGCCTGCCTTGCTGCCATGTGTTCTGTGAGAAGTGCATCAGAATGTGGCTGGTTCCAGCACAGATGCACTGTCCGTACTGCAGAGTTGCCATGGGAGATGTTCAGTTAAATGTCTCCGTGGAGCTCAGGTAATCCATCCTGGCCCAGGTGGAAGCATTGCAGTGGGGCTGGCTGTGTGAGGAAATTCTGATTCTCAGCTCTGAAGTTGTCAGCACGAGCAGAATGGGTGGAGGGGGCTCTGCTCTGCCCTTCCCAGAACTGGAACTGGTCCTGTCCGTTTTCTATCAAAGGAAGGGAGGAAGCTGGCCTTGCCCCATAAGAAAACAGCAGCTACAAGCCCCTGCAGAGCTCAAGCCCTGCCAGTGGCTGAATCAGACGAGGGAACTGCTTGTCACCTTGGATTGCTTCGTGACAGCTTAGCAAAAACCTCTCAGGAAACGTGGCTGGCATCATCCTGCTGTTTGTGATCTCAGTTGTCACTGTCATACAGCCTTTGCAGACACTGCTATGGAAGTGCTGTGCAAGTGCAGCCTTTTGGAAAGCTGGAAAAGTCTTACCTTGGTGACTTTTGCCTGTGTCTGCTTTGCTTCATCCACTCTTTCAGGGGGTCTGTATCTGAACGTTGTCCTCATGCTTTTACCCTTCCCCCAGAGATGCCATAGCGAGAAGCGCCCAGTTCCGGCAGCGGTGCAATAACTTCTTCATAGACGCGGTCACTACCATGTGCTTCAAGGACAATGAACCCCCCGAGGCAGAGGTGATCCAAGAGCTCCTTAATCTGCTCTTTGTCCACAGGAGCCTCCTGACAGGTTCAGGTGAGTCCCTTCATCCTGATGCTCAGCCTCATGGAGTTGATTCTCTTCCCACTTCCTCTCACCTGCCAAACTTGCCTTTTTCTTATCTCCTCAGATCACCCTGCTGTCTACACAAAATTTCTGTCCCCGTTTAACGAGGAAGTGGATGAAACTCCCATTATCCGCTCAGTCATGCTGAAGCTCCTCTTGAAGTACAGGTGAGCCCTCAGAGAGCTGAAGGATGTTACACTGGGGCGAGGTGCAGCTTTGATTTCCATAGAACCAATCTGTTCTCACTTCCGTGCTCTTCACTGAATTTGAATCCTTAAGGGTGAAACTCATCCCGTGCCTTTGTGTTAGTTGTGCAGCTTGGCTGGCTTGCATGTAGCTTGCGGTGAAGTATCCGACCAGTGTGTGCCAAGGTTTACCGAGCTGTCCTTAACCTAAACCTCTGCTGAAGGTGGGGAGCTTGGGTAGCCTAAAGAGGGTTCTAGGTCAGCAAAGCCGTACTCCTTATCCACAGACATTTAGTCATGGACGATCTTGTGTGCTGTCGTGGCTTAACCCCAGCCAATGGCTAAGCACCACACAGCCGCTTGCTCACCTCCCCCCTCCCTCAGTGGGGTGGGGAAGAGAAGTGGAGGAAAAGATAAGAAAACTCATGGGTTAAGAACTGTTTAATATTTGAAAATAAATGAGATAAAATAATGATATGACTATTACTATGTAATGAAAATTCATGAAAAGGAGAACAACAGTAGGTAAAACCCCAAGTGACACAAGTGCTCTCACCCGCTGACCGATGCCCAGGCAGTCCCTGAGCAGTGAGAGCCGGAAAGACCCGAGAGCCAGGCTCAGTCAACTCCCCCCAGCTTATGTGCTGAGCATGACGCTTTAGGAAATGAAATATCCCTGTGGTCAGTTTGGGTCAGCTGTCCTGGCTGTGTCCCCTCCCAGCCTGTTGTAGGGAAGAAGCTGGGAACAGAGGGGCAGGATGAGAAGCTGAAAGAGTCCTTGGCTTAATGTAAACACGGCTTGGCAACAACTGAAAACATCAGCGTGTTGTCAACATTCTTCTCAGCACAAACCCAAAACACAGCCTCAGTCTAAAACCATCAGTGTGTTATCAACATTTTTCTCAGCACAAACCCAAAACACAGCCTGGTATTGGCTCCTGTGGGTAAAATTAACTCTGTCCTAGCCAGACCCAGCACACATGCCTACACAGCCTCCCTGTGCAGTCAGTGCGCAGGAAGCCATTTCTCACGCGTGGTCATCTCCCAGGTCGGATGCCTGGTGCCCTAGAAATGCTAATTTGTTATTGCTGATGATAAAACCCAGCTCAGACGCTGATGCTAGATGTGCCAAAACATGGCACAATTGCTTTTCCATCTTCCAGATGGATCCAGTGACCCCCCCACTTGTCACATGGACATGACCAGTAGCCAGATGGTGATTTAGAACCTACGTAGTAGCCACCAGTATTGCAGTCGTGGTAAGGGGGTGTTTCTCTCTCCTGTAGCTTCACTGAAGTGAAAAATGATGTGCAACACTACCTGTCCCAGGTGGAGCACAATGGGATCCTAGAGAAAAACGATAAAACGGAGCTCTACTTGCTTTTTGTGAATTGCTTGGAGGTAAGAGCTGGGCGACATTGCAGGAATGAAAAACCAGCAAGTCTGCCGCAGTTTCTGGCAAGTTCCTTGTGCCCACGAGCTGCCCCACCAGAAAGCCCCAAAAGGAAGATGATCTCAAATCACCTGCTCGCCGGTCACTAACCTTGCTTTCCAGAGCAAGGCTGGTGTGGTTTTGCAGCGCTACATAAATATTTCTCTCTCGGACGCCTTGGTGTCTAAGTGTTAAGTGGAGCCTGATAAGACCCAAACTCCAGCGTAGGGGTGCAGCAAGCAGGGAGATTTCTGGTTGCAGTAGTCCACTACTAGACTACTCTCATTTTCAGACCCTTCCGTTGGCAAAGCTTTAGATTATTATGCTGTTGGGACTGTTCCCTTTCCTCCCCTGGCATAACTTTTAATGCTTTGGATGACTTTAAGCAAACTTGACAGCAGGGTAGAGGTTTCATTTCTTACAGTTTTCATCCAAATGGTGACTTTGTGTGGATAAGGTCAAACTTTGTGTCCTTGCTAAGGGAAAGCCGGGTAGGGTTTGGCATCTTGGCACACGCGATGTGTGTTTCTGCATGCGCGGCCGGTCAGCACGCTCATAACACTCCTGCTCAGCTACGTGTGTAGGAAATGCGGGAGAGAGCTTGGGCGTGTTGCTGACGGGAGTGTTTGATGTGGCAGAGGTTTAGGATAAGCACCGGAGAGATCTCGGGGAGGAGCATTGGGGTGGAGGGTGGCATGGCAGTTTAACGCGGTGAGGGCGCGCTGGAGGTAGAACGTGCCAATGCACGGGACATCTGGTCTTAGGGGTTCTGCCACTCATATTCTGGCCCATCTTTAGGATTCCATCTGTGAGAAGTCCGAGGGCAGCGTTGGATCTGAGCATATCAACAATCTGCTTAGAGACAGAGGCTTTCCAGACAACTATCTCCCAAAGAACAATCAAGAAACTCCTCAGGAATCGTCGGTCGAATACCTGCAGGCGGTAGCCAAGGTTCGCTTGTACCTGAGCAAAGCTGCGGAGCTGCTCTTTGACCTGCACGAGCGCACGGGTAAGTCATCGTTCCGCTGCCGACCGGAAACGCTGCGTGCAGAGCAGATTCACCGCGGGCGGTGGGCTGGACGTAGTCAATGCCCCTGTGCTGCACGGGGACTTGTTCTGATGCGTCCGCCGAGTGCACCGGCTTTCCCTTCTTCCCTTAGGAGTGTCGGTCGTTATCTGTCTCTTTGCCGTGTGTTGAACGTGCTCTGACTCGTAGGAAGGCTGTGCGGGTGACCCTAGGGTGTAGTTACCTGGCACTTACCTGGAGAGTTACCTGGAGACTTGTTTTATCCTCCGGATGCCAACAATGAGATTTGATTTAGGACCAACTAAATTGAACTTTAATGAATAAATGAATAAAGCGTAAATGATGCTTCAGGTACAGGACTGCTGCATGGCTTATTCTTTTATATGGAGGAAAAAGGATGAAGAGATACCTCCAAAAAAACCAAGTAAAAGAAATTTTGAGCTGATTTGCTGACCCAGGAAAGGAGAGCAGTGTGGGGAGTCTGGGATACTTACACAGGCCATGAAGCACCAAAGTGAGGTAACATAGTGAATTCCAAGGGACTTCAGTGTCCAGCCCTTGCGTTGAGGATGTCAGGCTGGCAAAATGCATCCCAGGAGATCATTCTTAGGGAGCACTGTCACCTTGGCAGTTGAGACAAGGGAAGGCCATTACTGAGCAAAAGGGAAGAGCTCTGTGAGTGAACTAGTAATGAATGCGCAAAACCTGGCCCTGAGAGAAGGAGCTACTGGAGAGGGTCCAGCGCAGGGCCACGACGAGGATGAAGGGCCTGGAGCACCTTCTGTGTGAGGGAAGGCTGAGAGCTGAGTCTGTTCAGCTGGAGAAGAGGAGGCTGAGGGGGGATCTTATCAATGCTTATCAATATCTATGGGGTGGGTGTCAGGAGGATGGGGCCAGGCTCTTCTCAGTGGTGCCCAGTGACAGGATGAGGGGCACTGGCCATGAACTGGGAAACAGAAGGTTCAACCTGACCATGAGGAAACCCTTCTTGAACAGGCTGCCCAGAGAGGGGGTGGAGTCTCCTTCCCTGGAGACTTTCAAAAGCCACCTGGACGTGTTCCTGTGTGATCTACTCGAGGGGATCCTGCTCTGGCAGGGGTGTGACTATGTGATCTCTAGAGATCCCTTCCAACCCCAACCGCTCTGTGAGTCTGTGAGAATGGAGGTAGAGTATGTCATCCTCTGCTGAAGGAATGAATCACTGTCTGAAATCCAGCTGAGGAAACACTCTAGATAAGCTTCTGCAGATGAGAGGGCTCTCAAGTGCTCCTGTGTAGTCAGTTCTAGTAAAAGGAGTGTGGTGCTACAGCTCGTGCTGACAGAAAAGTTTCACAGGGTACAATGTGGCTTGGCCTTTTTTCTTTTTTTCTTTTTTTTTTCCCTCCAGAGCAAGACCAGGTAGAGGAGAAGCAGCGTTACCTGTCAAATGTGAGGGTGTTCTGTAGCCTGGCCAAGAATGACTGGCATCACGTTTACCTAGTCCGGAAAATTGCTAGTCGGTACGGGATGGAATTTGCTCAGAAGCTGATCACGGAAGCACAGTTCAACTGGGTGTTCCCAGTGGAAATTCTGAAACAGGTAACCAAGAGGTGTCCCCTCGGAGATGGCTCTGGTCTCCTCTTCAGCTGGGGCTGCTTTGGGGTGTTTCTACTGTTGTGTGGCACTGGGGGACTCCCCACAGTGGGACTGGGTGTGAAGGTGACTTATCCTCGCCCTCTATGGAATGGAGCCTCTTACGGCAGTGAGGAGCCGTTTGGGTTGCTGTGCCCGCCCGCTGTCTCTTTGCAAAGGCTGAAGTGCCCCAGTTCTTGGGAGAAAAAGGAGATTTGGCCCTGTGCAACAGCTGGTTGATGTCCACAGTGCTCACCATGGGCTTTTTCCTGGATAGGTCCGGAACAGCCAGTGTAATCCCATCGATCGTTACCTGGCATGCGGTGAGAACTACAGAGTCCTGCGTGATGCTGTGGGGAAAGCCATGATTGAGGGCAAGACTGAGGCTCTAATAGAGGCGGAGAAGGTAGGGGGCACGTTCTCCTCACCATAATCCTGCTGTGGGTTCTGGATGGCCGGAATTTAAGCTTTGTGTTCCTGCTGGCAGCGTCTCTTCCAGTGGAGATGCCTGGGTTGCCTTTGCTTGAAAGTTCCAGAGGCTTATGCTGGCAGACACACTTGCTTTACTTTCTCACCCGTGTTGTAGCGTGTGTAACTCAGGTTATTTCTGTTGGTTGCTTCATCTCGCTTCTCTCCACTTGCAATCTACCTGCCAGCGGTTTGGTTTGCAGTAGGCAGTGCTGGCACCTTGTAGCCAACCGGCTGGAGAGCAGGCAGATAACCAGAGAAGCTTTCTGCCCTCTGCCTCGCCTTGTGTCTTGCCCTGCAAAACTCAAACAGGCGATTTCCGTGCGATCGTACCCTTTCTCCAGTATGTGTATTGCGTAGGAAAGCCTTGAGGAAGGAGCATGTGAGCAACGTGCCTTTGAGTGTCTCCGTTTGTTGCGATCTGGCTCGGTGATTTTGGCAGTGATTTACGGTGTTTTTGCTGGCGTGTTGCTTTGATTTGAAGGCACGTACAGGCAGCTGCCTAGTAAGGTTGTAATTCCAGCTGGATGTGACAAGAATAAACACTTCAGAGCTTTCTGATGTGAACCCCTCAATCGCTTGAGTGCTGTCAGATCACTCACTGATTTATGGCTTGAGCACCCATTTCTGCACCGTCCCCCTTCATGTGTGGGGAGAGCTTTACCACAGGCCAGCTGAAGCCTGCGTGTCCAGTAATCAGCTGAAACCTTGTCCAGCTTGAGCTGTGACCACTATAGCCTCTTCGCCACCATAACGTCAGTTCTTCTTTTCTAGGCATCGAGCAGCTCCCCGGCTGTCCAGTCTGTCCATCTGCTCCTGGCTATTTTCAGAGAGGTCACTGCCCTGTATGGAGTTAGTGACTCAGATCTTCACCCCCAACAGGAGGTAAGAGACTTTGGAAGCATTGGAACATGCTTCATTGATAGGGATGAATGAGATTTAAATCATGGGTGGGAGAGCCTTTTGTTGTTCTGCCCCAAATGCAGTGAAGTCCTGATCAGAGCAGAGCGAGAATCTTCTCAGAGCAGGGGCAGCACAGCATGGGAAGCAGCTGACGGTCCTCTTTGGTGGGCAAGATTTTTTCTTTTTCACTATATGCTTTCAGCAAACAGATGCCATGACTCAGTTCATCCAGAACTCCCAAATCCTGAGTTCTCCAGCCCTGCAGCGCTTCGCAGATTGTCTTGTGAGGAACGCGCTGCCGTCTCTGACCGTGGACCCTCAAAGCTCCAGCGACAGTGCGGCGCTAATTGAGATGGCCGTTCATACCGCCGCTGTCTTGCTGTGTGGGAAGAACCCCATCCTGCGGCCCCTGAGGAATCTGGCGTTCCATCCGCACGCCATGGAGGTAGAGGTTTAACTCGATTCAGCACGTGGCGGGTTCCTTCCTGTGTCTGCTGGATCCTCTATAACCTAACCTTTCCTAACATCAAAAGCCCATCTTACTGGTGTGGCTGCGAATTACTGATGTATTTCAGTGTTGTTGGGATTAATTAGCACAAGAGGCAGATCTGGACTGGTACTTCTTTAAGGTACCTCTGCCTCCTGAGCAGTATCAGGCAAACACTTTTGCTGCTGTTTGAGTGAGCGGGTCTGAAAGCAGCTGGCAGGTTGTACTGCGGAGACCTGTGTGATCTGGGGGATAATGGCTCATGGAGCCCTAGGCTGAGCCAGGGTGGAGGCATCTGCTGCTCTAAGGAAATGCGCTGGTAGGCACCAGGGTACGTCAGGCCACGCCAAGAGGAATCCAGTCCTTAAGAGTGGATTTTCAAAGGTAGAGTTGGAAAACGTGCATGTGCATCATCTGCATGACCTCTGCTTTCAGATGTCTCTTGTTCCCCATCGTGAGAAGGAACAATGCTACAGGAAAGGACCGGTTTATATATTCATCACCCTTTTTCTTTCCTCCTTAGCATGCTTTTCTGCCTACGATGCCAGAAGATATCATGGCTCAGGCGAGGACCTGGGAAGGAGAGAGCAGTCTGCACTGGTACAGTAAGTGCTCCTGACTGGCTGTGAAAGAACGTGGAGGATAGTCCTTGGCTTGTGAATGAAACTTCCAGATGTGAGGATGGACACACTCCTCTTCTTAGCATGAGTTATCCTTTCTAAATTAAGATTTGTAGCTCCAGGTTATGTGGGTGATGCACCAGAGCGCATGGTGCTCCTGCTCAGTCTCAAGCTGATAGCTGTTTGCAGAGTTTGAGCGTGCAGAAGACCTGCCCTGTTACTTCTGCCAGTGGTAAAGTGGTGTGAGCAGAAGAGGAGCACGTTGCCACCTTCCTGGCCAGCTTTCAGCTCTCTGCTTTCCACAGTAGGATCTTACTGCAGCCTAAGGAACTCAGGGGTGGGAGGATTCATGCCTACCAACCCATTTAGTACCCGGTAGCAGAATCTTTCAGGCTTCTATTCCTTGTTTCTGAAGGAGAAGCACTGAAAACTGCCTCTGGTTCCTCCATGGGTCTGTCACTGCTCTGAGCTTTGGGACCGTCAGTGCTTTTCCTTAGATCATGAAGCGTATTTCTTGCTCCAAGATGATGGTGCCTAGGAAAGGAGATACCAGGGGCTTCACAAATGTCTGTCTTATAACACTGTCCTGTTTGTTTCTCTCGGTAGTGTGTCCGAACGGCCACCCCTGCACTGTAGGAGAGGTAAGAATTTGAGACTGGTGGGTTTTTAAGCAGGTGATGTCTTCAACAATAAACTGCTTTATTTAGTTTATTGGTTTTAGTGTTCTGTTGCAGTGGTTCCTTTTCTAAACTCTAAATTAACCATTTTGCTGTTGCAGTGTAAAGTGTAGAATAGCTCTAACACAGCTTTTACCATGAATCTAGGAAACCAGAGTGGCAGAGGTTCTTTGCCCAGCATTTAGCAGTTCTTTTTAATTGGATTTTTGTTTCATGCTGTTTCTCTGCTGGAGAGGTTCTTACTGAGGAATTTGGTGTTCTCCTTTTTGCTTTTTGCTAGTGTGGCCGCCCCGTGGAAATTAGCCACTGTCTGGACTGTGGTGCCCAAGTTGGAGGGAAATGCCATCAAGCACTCTCTGGCTTTCGACACTTCCAGTACGCTTTGAGTCATTAACCTTTTCGGCGCCAAACGAAGTAGTGCTTGCCTGTCGTGCTTTCAGGGCAAAAGATACCGACCGCTTCATGCTGCTGCCTGGAGGGTGGCACGTAAGATCTTGTCAAGCTGCTGGTTTTTCATGTCCCTGTTCATCGAGGCTGATGTAGGTTACGTGGTTCTACACCAACATGTAGCAACACCCAGTGTAATTTCTTAATTAGATCAGCATGAGTGAAGAGCTTCTACCAGAGCTCCAGTAGCTGTAACTTGTGCACCCTCCTCAATGCCCCGGGTTAGCACAGCCCTTGTGTGCAAATGTTAAATTGCTGATTCTAACAGCAGCGGCTTCTCGCCTACCAGCACAGAGTTGGCTGATCTTGCCCTACAGGGCTGGATGTTGCCTCTTTCGTAGCAAACCTGTTGGGAAGAGATGTCCAAGGAGGAGTAATCAGCCAGCAAACCCAAACGAATCGGCTTATTGCTGTACAAAACTTACTGGAAGTCCTCACTCCCCTGTCGCACTCGTAATTGGCAGCTTTTGTGGCATTCAAAAGCCTTACGAGTCAAAAAATACATTACGGAGTGTCAGACATCTCTTGTGTGGTTTTTGTCAAGGCGAAAAACCCCTGTATCTACACTTCCCAACAGGAATACTGGAGACAGAACTCAAACTGGCCACATACTCGGAGATGCACAACACAGAGAAACAACGGCAGTGTCTGATCGGGCCATGACCCCGGTTGTCTTCATCCTGATACGCTTGCTCACGCATCTGACGATGTTGCTGGGAGCCACAGAACATCCTCAGGTACCTTCATGCGGCCACTTGGAACTATTTTTGGAAACATAGTGAAACTTCGGGATGATGCTGGTCCTTTTCATCGTACTGCCAAGTAACCAGGGCACTCTTTCAGGGTACAAGACCCAAATTCATTTCCCTACTTGCCCAGGAGCGATCCAGTTCCTTCATGCGCTTGCGTGCACCCGTGTACACACAGACCTGCCTTTATTTGCTCAGGTGGTGGGAGTGCTACAGGGTGGAGTTCACTTTCTGGTAGCTCTGCATGCCTTGTGCTTGAACTGGACGTTCCTGGCTATGCTCATTCTTCCCTTTTGTTTCTTTTTTTAGTCATTGCAAAAGATTATCAAGCCAGCCGTGAGCAACTCGGTGAGTTTTCTGAAGCAGCATATTCGGGAAGACTTGGCACAGCTGACAAAAACTTTGGGGAAGAGTGTGGATGAGACTATCAACATCCTTCATCTGGTGCTCGGCAGCCTCCTTAAGGACCCCCATCAGCAGCCAGGCCAGTGTAAGGACAACTACCTGCCCTTTCACACCTCCAAGCTCTCGCTGTGTTTTAAGAGCAGCAGGGAGGTAGCCTCTCTGCTGACTGACCATTTCCAACAGGCCGCAGCTGAGCTGAGGAGGACGATTAAGCTTTAGGCTTGTTTCTTACAGTAGCAAGGGAAGAATTTTTGGCTGTTTATTTCTCTTGGTCAAGTGCGTGGGTTTGCAAGGTTTGGTGCCTAATTCTGAAAAGGAGTTATTGAATAATAACTCTGTGACATGTTGACAGAGCTTGCTGCTCGCAAGCAGAGGTACTGCTCAAAGCACAGTAGCTCACTGTCCTCTAAATGTTGCTAAGAAGCTGTTTGGTTGGAAGAGGGATGGAAGAGTATGGTTCATCGTAGGGTCTGGAGTTCACACTGACATGAGTCGTGTCATAGAGGGATTTATATGGAACAGCTATATTTTTAGCATGTGACAGCGCAAATCAGTAATCCCAGCTCTGTTCCTTGGCCTGTCATTGCTCATGGTCTGACCTTGGACAGCTTGTTTGACCTTTCTGGGATGACAAATGACGTGTGTAAATGTGCACATCATGCGAGCGAATGACTGAAGTGAAGCTCCCAAAAACCTGTGGTTGTTGCGTGCTGCTTGGGATGACACCCCAGCTAGACTGAGATACTCGTTTAGCACCTCTGTAATTGCTCTTGGCTTATCATGCTAACTTGCAAGGATGTCACATCTGGAAGTTTGGAGAATCTAGGCTTGCTTTTACCTGAAATACTGCAGATGTAAGGGACTAAATCTTCCTGTTGTAGGGCCAGTTCAGTTTGATGATGTGCTCTCCACCAAGGAGAAGAGAAACAAATGGGAAGAAATTGTTGCAAACACAATTATTGTTCCTGAATTGGAGGTGAGGATTTTTGCTGTACAAAATTTCAGTAGCTGAGCAGTTTAAGATGTGCTTATTTAGAAGTCCGACCTGCTGCCTTCTCTCTGCTACACCTCGCCCAGCTACTCCTAAAGCCAAGCCATCTGTGGCACAGCTGCGGGTCAGCTTTAACGTGTAGGGGTCAGCCGGCCGTCTCCTACGCGTGGACGTGGGCGTCTGAGACTCGAGATGCGCTGCGGCGATTCCGTGTGGCTGGAAAAGCAGAAGTGCCTTAGCTCCGTTGGACGTGTTTGTCCGAGTGAGCCCATGGTTGTCCCAGATGGATCCTGTCTGCCTCCCCCTCCCCATATACGTCACCTCAAGCACGTGGGCCTGCGAGTTGGCTGAGCTGGAGAACAACGGGTAGCTTTGTAGCATAAACAGCTGACTTTTAGCATGTCATACTCGCCTTCCCCAGAGTTAATCCTCTGCTTCGCCATGTCAGGGAAATGTGCTCTAGTGGAGGTTCAGCGTGGCAGGACGCTGCCAATTCCAATACTTTTTTTTTTTGCTTTTTAATGCAGGATTTGGATAAAAAACTTCTGAAGTTGAATAGACAAATACAAGCGGATGAGAGAATTTCTTCCAATATGATAGTGAAAATAGTGTATGACGACCCAGCCACTTTCCTGTCCCAGCTGCCCAAGGACAGTCACATACATCATTCCAAGATGTGGAGCTGCCGGAAGAGGATTTCGGTGGAGAACCTGGGCCACGTAGTCCAGCAAAAGAATGCCAAGGACACTGTCCCTCTCCTTTGGAAGTTTCTGCAGAAGGTGGGTGCAACACGGGGATGAGACCGCAGTGTTCACACACCAGCTCGCAGGATCACAGGCTGGTGGAGGTTGGAAGGCACCTCTGGAGCAATCCTGGGCCACTCCCCGGCTCCGGCAAGGTCGCCTAGAGCCAGTTGTCCGGGCCCAAACCACTGTTGGATTATGCCATGTCTTTCCTCTCACAACTTGTTATCATATTGAGAACTGCAGGTGTAAAGTGTATTTCTCTTCTTTTAAACACTTAAATGCTTTAAGTGTTCCATAAAAGTAATAAAACCTGGTTTGTCCAAGGACAACCTTACTCACAGGCCCCCTTTCTTCCAGGAAACGGAACTGAGGCTGGTTAAGTTCTTACCAGAGGTTCTGGCTCTGCAGAGGGACTTGGTGAGGCGATTTCAGAACACCGCCGGTGTCGAGCACTGCTCGATCAGAGACTTCCTCAACGAGCCCCTCTCAGGTGAGAAGGCTGTGCCAAAACTGTAATTGGTGAAACAAGTGCTGGGTAGACAGTGAAAGTGAAAACTTCTTGAGCTTGCAATCTTAAGCCCTCCTACATTCCTCTTGTCTCCCATCCAAACGAACTGGAGACCTTAACCCTGGAGCTACGCCTGGAAAAGTCATCAGGTGGCTTTAAAGAAGAAGTAAGCAGAGGAAGGTTGTTCACAAGGGCTGGGGCAATGCTCAGACATAGGCAAGATAAATCCCTGGATGCAGCAGTGGGTATGTTGAATTTTTAAGCTCTGCCCTGGAGTAAGGCCTGCCTGAGAGGTGGAATAGGTGTCCTGCCCTTTCATGAGCAGCATCCAGGCATTTTGTGGCAACTCCTTCAATTGTGCTTAAGTACAATTACTTATGTTTTTAATTACTTAGGGAATAGTACTGAAAGGTCATGCAGGATCAGACCAGGGATCCATCCAGCCCTGTAGCCTGGGCCAATAGCAGACAATAATGGAAGACTATAAACAAACAGAGCAAATGACCCAATTCGATAACATCAGAAAACTGTTCCATGTCTCTTTAGTCTCTTTTGACCTGTTTGAGCAGTGTTCAGTGCCCGGAGTTCAGTGGTGTGCTTTTTCTTATGTTGTGGAGTTTCATGGTGTTGCCAGTAAAGGTGCTTCAGGGACTTGTCTGCCTGTTACCCCTCAGATGTGATGCGGGACCTGTTACAGAGGAGAGTGAACGTGTTTCTGTCTGTCTGGAACAAGCTGAGGCGCTCGCTGGACACCAACGGTGAGGACCTTTCTTCCCCAGCGTTGTTTTAGGAGTGGTGGAAGCAAGGGCTTGCCAGCTGTCAGACAGCACTCCCCTCTGGCAGGTCAAGTTCCTCCCACCGGTGATGCCGACAGCCTCAAAACTGCCTTGGCCATTAAAGGTTTAGAGAGATCTAGGTGGAAACGGAAGAATTTGTTTCCCTCTTGTATTCTCACCTGAACTTGCTCCCTTTAGAGCTTGTAAGGAACGGAAGGGGAACTTTCTCCTGACCTGGGTCAGCTCGGGGAGGCTTGCTCATCACGGGCTGGCCCTGGGCCACCTCCAGCAGACTTCTCTGCCCTTTCTTTCAGGGGAAATTAAGCTTCCTAAAGGCTACTGTGATGCTGACCTGACCCTGGACAACAGTCTTGAGGTCCTTCTGCCACGTCGACAGGGGCTGGGCCTCTGCTCCACGGCCTTAGCCAGTTACCTCATCAGTCTGCACAACGACTTCATCCGCTCGGTGAACAAACACATCAAGGAAGACGACAGGTGTGTTGCTGCTCCAGCTAGGCATTCTGGGGGCTCTGTTGTATTACCTGCTGCCGCAGAATCCGCTTTCCCTGCTTCGCGAAGGCTCCTCGCTCTAAACGGAGGCTGTTTCCTGCAGGTACTTGGTCAGTCCGTCAGAGGTGGCTGATCTGCACTTGATCAGTTACGAGGTTGAGAGAGACCTGATTCCCCTGATCTTGTCCAACTGCCAGTACAGCATGGAGAAGGGAGGGGAGACGTTGCAGGACTTTGATCTGGAGAGGATCCAGCAGCAAATCATCAGCAAGTTCCTGCAGGGGAAGCCGCTCATCACCCTAACGGTAAGGCGAGGCAGCTGGCCGTGCTTTCCGCAGACAACTTCTTGGCCCACGCTGGAGCCCGGCAGCGTTTGCTGCAGCCAGGCATGCATTGTAACAGGGTTAGTGCTGTTGCCAAAGCTTTACAGCCATGGGTTTCTCTCCTGACAGGGAATGCCTACCCTCGTGTACAGACGGGATCGGAATTACGAGCAGCTGTTTAATGATGTCAGGAATAAGTTGGATCAGGTGGGTTTTTGCATTGGAGGAAACGGGGCAGGCAAGTGACCCCTGACATCCCAAGAAATGTCTTGGGGGTACTTGTTTTCTGTCACTTGCCTTGTTCATCTGCTCTGAAGGCTTGTCCGCTGATCTCCCAGCATGCCTCGGTGTGTCCAAACTGGCCATCTGTTGTCAGCCAGGATTTACAAAGGAGAGGGATGTAGTTAAGCATTTTTAGTTTCCTAAATCTGGGGCTGTACCATTTTCCTTGACTTCAGCAACCTGAGCAGCAATAACGAATGGCTCTAAACTAACGTTAGCAACTGCTTTGACTTCATGGTTTTCAGCGTGCTCTCCCCAGTTCTGTGATGAACATGATCACTGGGGAGCTACAGTCTTACAGTGATGTCTGTGAGGCTCTGTCCATCACTGAAACGACCCTGGGGTTCCTGGCCATGGCTGGAGAGAATGCTGAAATGCTTCTGACGGACTACATCGAGCACGTTCTGCAAATGGGTGATCAGACAAACCCCCACGTACTGCAGGTGAGTTCCGAGAGCGAACCTCGTACTCTTACAGGGTAAAATCTGCACTGGTTTAGGCTGAATCCAGCCAGTCTGATCTCCAAGCCCAGCTTGAAAAGGAATGTGACAGAATTCCCTCCCCACCGTGTTCAGCAGCAGGGGGGAAACAATTCTCACTTTCCCTGCCGCCGGTGTTTGCAAGGTGGGAGCATCCAATAGCTGTGATGCTGGGCAGGTTCTCGCGAAACCCTGCGGAAAGGGCAGGTGCAGGATGTGCAGAAGGTCAGGCTGCAGATCCCAGCTCCGCTGTCAGCACCAGGAAGGAGAATTCCGTGTCAGCATAATTAGTTGTCATGCTAAAACTGAGAAAAGGGAGAGTGTTCAATTATGAGTCAGCTTGCAGCGACTGCGGCTCTCCTGGTGCCGAGCGGGATTGAAAACATCCCTTCACCTCTCCGAAGTGGTGACAGGGGAAGGTTTATCTCCTAATGATGTGTGGAAAGAGGCCCTTTACGGATCAAAGGCACTGTGACATGACACGTGTGTGCAACACTGCCCTGTCGCTGTCCCACTCCCTTCCGCGATACCAAAAAGATGGATTATTGGAGGCAAAACGGGGAAGAGGGGAGAGAGGAGCCTCTTGCAGATGGGCTGCTGCACCCCGTTTAAAAGGGCTCGATGAACTCCCCCTGCTTGTGACCCGGGAGGGCAGGGCGGGCTGTGGACAGGCTCCTGAAGGCAGCCCTTGCAGCCAGGTTCACTCCCCGCGTGTTTTGCTTTCAGGCGCTGAGACGATGCCACCTGAAGCACAGCACAGCCCTGTGGCAACTGCTCTCTACCTGCAAATCTGAGCAGCTTCTGCGCCTCAAAAGGGTAAGGTACACCCACAACTGCGGTGTCTCGTCAGCTGCTTCCTCTGCTCTAAAAGATGCTCAAATGTGTATGGTTGTTTTCCCCTCCCCCCGTGGCATTTTTAGGATCCTTTTGCAGACATCAATACAGCCTACAAAGCTGAGCTCAGTCCGGAGGCTGCCAAGCTCCTCAACACCTTCCTTGTCCACTCGAGGCTGGAAATGTTCCTGCAGGAGCTTCATGAAATCATCGTCCTGAAGCTGAGACGTGTCCAAGCTGTGGACGAATTCAGACCCACCTGGAGGTAAGAGATTTATGCTGCCCAAGCCAACCCAGACTTGTTAACCACTTGAGCTTCTCTGCCCCTGGAGCGCATGTGGAGATTGTTCCCTTGGCCAGCGACTGCCCTGTGGGACGCAGAGCACGACTGCGTCCAGCTCTGGGGCCCCCAGCATCAGAAGGATATAGATTGGTTGGAGCGAGTCCAGAGGGGGCCACAGAGATGCTCCGAGGGCTGGAGCCCCTCTGCCATGGGGACAGGCTGGGAGAGTTGGGGGGTTCAGCCTGGAGAAGGGAAGACCTTAGAGCCCCTTCCAGTGCCTGGGGGACTACAAGGAAGCTGGGGGGGACTTTTTACAAGGGCCTGTAGTGACAGGACAAGGGGTAACGGGTTTAAATTGAAAGTGGGGAGGGTTAGATTAGATATCAGGAAGGAATTCTTCCCGCAGAGGGTGGGGAGCACTGGGACAGGTTGCCCAGAGAAGCTGTGGATGCTCCATCCCTGGGAGGGTCCAAGGCCAGGCTGGATGAGGCTTGGAGCAACCTGGGCTATGGAAGGTGTCCCTGCCCATAGCAGGGGGGTTGGAACTAGATGATCCTTAAGGTCCCTTCCAACCCGAACCATTCCGTGAGTCTATGATCAGCATTATGCAGCTAGTTTCAAGACACGCTGCCTGTCTCTGACTCCCCTCCATCTTACACAAGCTATTTTGGGAATGCTGCTGGAATACAGCAGGAGCTGCTGTTGGCGAGCGCTAAGGATAAACACAAACGCTGCTGCAGTCACTCAGCTTTCCACGTGTATGGCTTGGCCCTAACACTTTGCTTCTGACCTGCAGCATCCCATTTCTGGGTCCTTGAGCCTCTCTAGAAACCCGAGTGGCTGTTTCATGCTTCTCATTACAAAACAGACGTGCTGGAAGCCTGTACGCTTCACGCCGTGCGTTCCTACCACCCGAAACGCTGCGTGGTGTTTGTAGTTTGCTGTACACCATCTATTAATGCTACTTTGACTTTGTTTTCCAGCCTGAAGGAATCGCTCATTCCCTACCTTGATGCAAAAGGCTCCGAGTTAGCTACAGAGCTGCAAGTGCTGTTCCCAGATGAGATTTTTCTCTGTCACGCTACAGCTACGTGGAAAGCAGCCGCTCTCTTCAAGAGGGCGTAGGGGAAGGGAGGACCCCCCCTCAGGGACTGACTGACCTCCCTCATCCACAGGGATTGCCATGACCATGGGGTCTCGGTGAGATTCCGGATCCGCGGGGGGATGGTTTTGGGGGGTTTTCTTTCACTTCAGTGTAAGTGTGATGCAAAGGTGAGATGCTCTGATGCCTCAGAAGGCCGGCGGAGGAAGGGAAGGCTGCACAGATGAACAGAGACTCTTGAAAGCAGTGTTAGACAAACCACACACCACAACCACCTCAAAACGATGAAGGATTTTTTTAAAAGCACTGGGCCAGAGGAGGATTTTCTACTCGGCGGATCTCCTGCCGCTTCAGGCACCAGCGAGACGCCGAACAGGCTCCTTCTCCCAGCTGCCCCGTCCTCGGC